GAAGTCGAAAAAAAACGCAAAAACTAGACCAACCGAACAAAGTGACCAACAAATACTAGAACTACTCCTGTTGTGGTCCATCATGAAATCTTGTTGCCAACTAGTATTGCTCTATATCTTCCTTGCAAAGGAGTGCCACGACTGACTAGGCTGCAGCAGCGACTTGTTCTCAAATGTTCTTGATTCCTTTCCTTCCATAAATTCCACCAAAAATAGATCATAATACCATCAAACGCCTTTCTCGATCTTTATCTCGTCTTAATTATGCACTTTCGCCAAGATTTATACAGGATCCTGTCATTCCGACATTATCGATCACCGATAGGGTGAACCATCACTTTATGAAGGACCAAACTTGCCTTGAGAAAGTGCAGTCCTTGCAAAGATGTGTCGGTGTTTCGGGTCAATACCACAATAGGCGCTTTTGGCTATGTATTCCCTGTGCATGACAGGCCCGAAGAAGCCACACAGGGCTCTACTAATACGATTTAAACCCACGATACATAGGGCGTATCGCCCCTAAACCCCTTGCCTGAAGGGGTTAACACTGATTACTTGATCCCCTCATGACCAGCGCCTAAGCCTCCATGGCCGGAGCCACGGCAGCCTTCTTCTGGATGGCGCTTGTCTTCTGCTTCTTGGCTTCCTGCTCAATGAGCATCTTGATGGCCACCATGGGTTTCGAAATTGTATCTAAGAACCTGTCAATCAGTGTAAAGTTGTTTTCAGAGTTGTTATTGTTTAACTCTCGGCTAGACTGATCATCAATGGAAACTGTAAGTTCGGGCAGTTGTACAGTAGGAGAGCTCACCACCATGCCGTGAAGCTGATCCGCCTGCAGACCCATGCACAGGTTGGTGATGACGTGCTGCACCACTTGCTCCTTCTCCACTGCTGCCTGATTTGGAATAATGTCGTGATTTAATCTTATAAAATTTGTACGATCTATGGTTGGAATTATTTGAATTTTATATGGTCTTTTAAATTAAAAACCTTAGCCAATTAAAAAACAAAATTATTCGTATGCGAGCCCAATAAGCACAATGGTTGAGTCGGTTCACAGAATAAACAAAGAGCTCGTCCAAGAGAGAAGACCACGTCGTAGGCGCGGCCGGCGAGGGCGCATGCAGGCGCGACCGAATTTGCGACCCAGGACGAATCTCCCTGTCCTGAGCGGCCCAGCCCAACTATGACAGTAACACTCTGTAAAAAAAAGAAAAGGAGGACGCTTCCTTCCTTCCACTGACTCGGCGACTCCTTTCCTGGCGCTGGCGGCGGCGGCCGGCGGTCCCCGTCCTCCACCACCACCGGCCACCCAGCCGGCCCCTGATCCCTGCACGGCTGCGCCCCTGCTGGCCGCTTCTGCCGGCCGGCCGCCACCAGGCACCCGCGGCCCGTGCGGCCGTGCCCGTGCGACGGGGCCTCTGAGGCCGCAGTCCGCCGCGGCGCCGTCGGCTTAGGGACCCGTGCCCGCGAGTCCCTCTCCCTCCCTGCCGAAGTGCCGAGCACAACTGGTGAGAGCACTGAGGAACTTGTTCCCTCCATTCTTTTCCTCCTTGCAGCTCTTGCCCTATATACCGTCGGGTCACATTGAATTAACCATGAAATTAGATTATTTATTAATCGATCTATGGCTTAGAGTATAAAGGTCACTTCACTTATCAAACATTCGATGCCTCGATGACATGTTGACAATGGCGACGACACTGACAGTCATGATTTATTAATCTCCAAAGTGGTTGAAAAATATGCTGAAATCCATGATCAAACCATCCATTCACCTAAAAAAGGATTTGGTTGAATATATTTGGGCACGATATGGGCATCATACCAATATCATGTTCTGACTTTGTGTTCTTGAACTTTTATTAGAGCTGTTGTAAGATATTCATATGTACCAGTTATTTTCTAAGACAATTATTGCCTCGTGTATGCACGAGATGGAACAGATTTATAAGAGATTCATATGTACCTGTTATTTCTAAGACAATTATTGCCTCTTGTATGCACTGTATTGGTCCAACTTTGATGTGTTTAGTTCTTATACTCCACTGTGTGTCTTGAGCCACCCTGTTGGCATCTAACTCATCACACATGCAAAGGACATCAGAATGAGCAGAAAAACCCATCAATCCCACTCAGGCAGCCAGTTCACATTTTAACAGAAAACACATAAATGGCACAATTCAAAAGGTTCTAAATTCTACATTTACGTGGTCTGATTACAACACAGGCTCTAAATTCCACATTTGTGTGGTCTGATTACAATACTGGCAGCTTCCACTTTCTGATTTGAGATGCGTTCTTGGAAGTCCTTCATGTTACTTATGACTTCAGTAATCTCTGACTGAGCATTAACTAGTTTCTCCGTTGTTCTTCAACCACTGTAGTTGCAGACCCATTAGCTGCTCCTTTCATTTTCTAAGCTTTCTTGCAGCCCACTGGACGCACATTTGGAGCCACCCTATTGGCATCTAACTCATCACACGACCTCTTCGTGCCTTGACATTTAGCTTGCAATTGCAGACTCTCTACATGACTTTCTTTTTTTCTAAAGTGGAATAATTGCAGACTCTCAAAACTCATATTGTATGGTTTAATTCACTACTGATATTAATCTGCCTCAGATATGCTTTCTTTTTACTAAATGTCTAAACTTTGTATATTTTTATGCCTTGTGTTAATGTGAAATTGTGTCATCGTTTTCATTTAGTCATGGTTGAGCAAGTTGGACTCGATCATGGTTAGTTTGAGTACTCAAATTAAGGAAGTTAGTTCATCTACCATAGAAACTAATAATCTTAATTAATTTTGTTGCTGCCAGTCAAGTACTATTTTTCGTACTCAAACATGTCTTGCAAAAGAAAAAAACTGATTGATTTCATTTCATTCTTACTCCTTGTTAGAGGGTCATGGATCGAAGTTGGATGAGTAAGCCAAGACAGGATACTGCATATCAAGATGGTGTTGAGCAATTTTTGACTTTTCGCCACGGGACATTCCACGTGATAGCGAGATACTTTGTCCTTGCAAAAAATGCAAAAACAGATTAAACCATAGCCATGATGAAGTCAGGACACATTTGAGATGTGATGGTATTATTCAAGGTTATACGACCTGGGTTCATCATGGAGAGATGTATGAAAGTCCACAATTTGCATTTGTTGACGTGCCAACTGACACTACAAACTTGCCTACTTCGGGTGTCTCAAGGGCTCCTGCAGTACAAGATGGCATGCAAGAACTACTTCAAGCTGCCTTTTTCAGGAATGAAATGTTTGAGTCACTACCAAGTATGTCTGAAGGTGTAGTAGATGTTGAATCAGGATTTGCAGATATGGAACAAACTGTAGCTGAGGATGTGCATCCTGCAGATGACAATGCTAAGGAGAGTGAACAGAATCTATATGAAAGATACTTGAAGGATGCACACACAAGCTTATATCCTGGGTGTAAATTTTCTAAGTTGTCATTTTTGGTAAACTTATATCACTTAAAATGCTTAAATGGCTGGACACAAGAATCATTTACAAGACTTCTAGGTGTGCTATCTGATTCATATCCTCCTCATGTAGACCTACCTAAGACATATTATCAAGTGAAGAGAATCATCCGTGCTTTAGGCCTTGACTATGTGAAAATACATGCTTGCCCCAAAGATTGCATGCTTTTCCGAGGAAGTTCAGCTAAGAAAGATTTTTGTGATGTGTGCCAGAGCTCTCGCTGGAAAGATTTTAAGAAGAATGGTTCTACAATTAGACCTAAGAAGAAAAAGAAACCAGCGAAAGTGTTGCGCTATTTTCCATTGATACCGAGGCTCCAAAGGTTATTTTCAACTACCAAAACTTCAGACGACATGAGATGGCACGAGGACGGACGCACAAAAGGCGGAAAATGCGACATCCAGCGGATGGTGAAGCTTGGGAAGATTTTAATCGTAGATATCCTAAATTTGCAGCAGATGCTCGTAATGTACGCCTTGGTCTTGCAAGTGATGGATTTAACCCTTTTGGGAATATGAGTTCAAAGCACAGTACATGGCCTGTAATGCTGGTTCCTTACAACTTGCCACCTTGGATCTGCATGAAGCAAACATCCTTACTGTTGTCAATGATCATTCCTGGACCGGATTCTCCAGGGAATGATGTTGATATATACTTACAGCCCTTGATCGATGAGCTCTTAGAATTATGGAAAGGAGTGCAAACATGTGATGCCTCTTCTCGAAAGAAATTTCCTCTGCGAGCTGCACTGTTGTGGACTATAAATGATTTTCCTGCATTAGCTTACCTATATGGCTGGAGCACAAGTGGTACATATGCATGCCCATCATGTGGTCCAGCAACAAAATCATTTCACCTGAAGAATGGTAAAAAGATGTGCTATATGGGACATCGAGGTGCTCTCAGCAGAACCACATATATCGAAGGCAAAAGAACCAGTTTGATGGCATGGTAGAGGTTGGACTTGCTCCTGAAATAATGAGTGGTACTTCTATTTTAAAAATGTTAGAAGGTAGAGTTTTTGTTTTAGGGAAAAAGGACCTCACAACAAAGAATACAAAGGGAAATAACAAAGGAAAAAAGAAAGGAAAGCAAGGTGATGAAAGCCATCAGAAATCCAAGCGTAAAAGAGGACAAAAGAAACAGAAAGATGGGAACAATGGCAAGAAGGAGAAGAAGCCAGAAGATTGGTTGAAAAAGCGGTCAATATTCTTTCAGTTACCATACTGGGAAAAGAACAAACTAAGGCACAATCTAGATGTGATGCACTTAGAGAAAAATCTATGTGACAACTTAATTGGAACTTTAATGGATATTCCTTCCAAAACAAAGGATGGTCTTAAAGCACGACTGGATTTAGTGGAACTTGGAATTCGACACAATCTTCATCCTGTGGTAGATAATGAAGGAAAGCAAACTATGCCTCGATGCACCTTTTACCATGTCTAGAGAAAAAAGGAGGTTCTCTGTTCAAGATTCCAAAACCTAAGAACACCGATGGCTATGCATCAAACATTTCTAGGTGTGTTAACATGAAAGATTGTACATTGACTGGACTAAAAAGTCACGACAATCATGTTTTACTACATGACATCCTTCCAAGTGGCACTCCGATCCTGTTACCCCAGCAAAGATGTCATGGAAATAGTTATTGGAATATCTAATTTCTTTAAGAAGTTATGCTCGAAGGTGATAGATACTGATGAGCTACAAACCCTTCAAGAGAGTATTGTGGTAACACTCTGTAATATGGAGAAAATTTTTCTACCATCATTTTTTACTGTGACAGTGCACTTGATGGTGCATTTGGTAGAAGAAGTTAGACTTGGTGGCCCCGTTCACTACCGGTGGATGTACCCCATGGAGAGGTATGTAATTACATTTTGCAGGGTTATTGTCAATAATTTGTTCAACTAACAACAAGTGTTCATGATTTCATTTAGATTTTTTGTTCGGCTTAAAGCGCTTGTGAAGAACAGAGCTCAGCCGGAAGGTTCGATTCTTTGAAGGGTATTGCATGGAGGAGTGCATGACATTTTGTTCCAGATTTCTTGATGGAGATACTCGTTTTAACAGACCGGCTAGAAATCCCGAACCTTCAGGCAATATGAAAGATATGTACATGTTTGAGAGTGCTGGAGAACCAATTGGAAAAGCTACTGTAAGCCATTTTGATAGCCAGCTTCTTATTCAGGCACATCGATACGTGTTGCGACACTGCGATGAACTTGAAGAATTCCGCAAGTGTGTACTATAATTTCTCTTGACTCTATTTTAAAATTTTATTATGTTGAAGCCATCACTGTATAACAAATAATCCATTGTTGTAGAGAGTTTGTGGATGAGGAGAAAGGAAAATCGTGTCCTTCAACTACTTTGACTCTGGCTTCCATCGATAAGTTGATAGACCAGCACTTCCCTGACTGGTTGGAACAGAAGGTAGTACAACTGAAATAGCTTATTAGGCGAGGAGTCTAATAGAATGAATTGATCTAATAATTAATTTCTTCACTACAGGTTATCCTAGGTGATGGACTAGGAATCACTAAAAAAGTTCGAGCTTTGGCTGCCAAACCGAGCAGACATGGTGTGAGATACAGCGGCTATATTATTAATGGTTTCAGGTTCCACACACTAAGTCGTGAGGCTGCAAGGTCGACACAAAATAGTGGTGTAGTGAACATTGCAGAAGATGGGGTTAATTATTATGGCAGATTAACAGATATATAATAGAACCGACATACAATCGACTACAAGGTTGTTCTTTTCAAATGTGATTGGTATGATGTCCATCATCGTGCTGGTTTACTGAAACGATGAGTTTGGATTACCACTTGTGAATTTTTCAAAGAAAATACACACCGGGGAAAAACTGGAGCATGATCCCTGTGTCTTTTCTTCACAAGTGGAGCAAGTCTTTTATGTTGAACACCCAAAAGCTGAAGGATGGAATTACGTGGTAAGATTTAAGCCACGAGATACTTTTGACATGGGTGATGATGAACTGCCACCGGATGAAGCAAATTAGACTAACTGGCTTTCGGTATTATCGGGCTTTTTTTAGAGTATGTGGACAATTGAGTGCCACTAATTTTGACATACATAAATATAATAATAATTATTCAGGTTGCACTTATTACAAGGCATATTTGTTTCAGGTTACTCTTGTCTATGCAGGAGGGTGTGTGTTGCTCTGTTTCACCCAGGTGATGGATGTGTTCCTGCATGATGGATCAAGAGCATCTTAGTTTCTGTAGGCTGCTAGCATGTGTTTTCTTTGTAATATGTTTTATAAGAAGTTTCATTTACAATTGGTGGTCTAAGTGAGAAATCAATGCCACTCACATGTAATGCTTGAATTATTGAGAAATTGAGTCCAGTAATTTATAGATTGGTCGTATGATTGAGAAATTGAGGTTAGTCATATGATTGAAAAAGCAGCATGTGTTTTCTTTTGCTTGAATCTTTGAGTGAAAATTATGAAATTGTTGAGCGTGTGAAAATTTTGGAAAAATATGGAGAAAAACATGTATTTTATTTGGCTTCAATTGTTGCGAGAAAATTATGGAATGTTGAGTGTGAGAACATTTTTTTATGAATAATATGGAAAAAATACAGGCAAGGAAGTTTTGACCTCTTGACCACGTGTAGAGAATTAGGGAAAGGTTACCACAACACTACATGTTCAAAAAAAGCATTTTTAGATAGTTATTGACGGTAAGCCGATACACTTTATCACGTATCTACAAGCATGTAACGGTCAAATAAAGTCTCTAATTTTGTGTTAGCTTGATATGTTTTTATTATCGTATCAAAAGGTGTCTTTACGTGCCTATAAACAATTGTTTGGTACGTTCTGTGACGTGTCTAGATGGTACAAACGATATGAAGCATCTCTATATCTGTAACGTTTTGTGGCGTTTTTAGTATCGTGTCAATTAGTGTGTTTAGATATATATGGACGGTGTTATGACACACTTTATAACGTGTCTAGACGCTATTGACGATTAAAAGCATGTCTAACACTGTGTCATTTTGATACATTTCCAAAATCGTCTCGAGAAGTGTCTTTACATGTCTTGTAACAGTGAAAGCGTGTCAAATGTCGTATCCAGTTGACACGTTTCCAAAGTCGTGCTTAGAAGCGTCGTTATGTGCCCATGTACATACGCTTTCAACCAGCGTCACAAAGAAAATGTGTCTAGAGGGGGGTGTTTCTTGTAGTGTCATGGCTAACTTAAATCTAGCTCCTTAGTTAGACTGCACTCATATAAGGTTATGTCTAGCTATAACGAACCAAATCAAATCAAATTAAATAGCATGGTGCACGTGAACCCTTGGTCAAATACCATGTCATGGGCATGTACGCCAACTTTGATAAAACAAATCAACTCCATGCGTCGCGTCTAGGTTTAGCTCAACAACATATCTTCCTGAACCTTGACAAGTGCCCATATAAAACATCGCACTATATGTAAACCACGTGCATACACGATATGATACACTATTCATCCAAGAAATGACCATCGCTAAATGCAAAACATACTCATGCATCCATCCAATACTACAAGACTGAAGACTTTGTTTTCTTTTTGTAGTTTGTAATAGGAAGCCATATGATGTAATCTTATTTTTTATGTACTCATGTTGAAACTCTTAATCAGGGGTGTTCTCTTCGGAGATGTAATTAACATAATTTTTATGCAAATATAAGAATTATGGAAGTATGGAATCGCAATACCTGTACTTTTACTTTCGTCCTAATTAAATTAAACCAAAACCAAATTTGTCTCTGCTGACATGGAGGCGGGTCATAGCCGCTTGTTTCCCCGCCATCAGATTCTGGTACGCCCAGTGGGACCTACTTCTCCCCTCATATTTGAGTTCCAACATGGTTGCATCATATGGCTTCGACCTAAATTGTCAAATGAAATTATATGCGCATTCATGTTTGCATTCAAGAAAACTCATATATATATGGTTTTCTTATGTGAAGGTATGGCCGGACGTGTTCAAGACTTCATCAGGATCCGCATTGGTTCCCTCTGGGTCGATGTTCCCATGGGTCCCGTTCAAGCCTCCAACAGTGCTGGTTCACTCCACACTACAGCTGTGTCGCCGGCTGTAGTTGCTCATGACCAAGAGGTCAATTCCAAGCCGGAGGAAGGGTTCACCCCTATCATGTCCAAAGCCGCAAAGCAGCAGGCAAGAAGAGTTGCTGCCAAAGCGAGGATGATGGCCTCCAATGAGCGCGCTACCAATGTGCACAAGGCCACATCCTCCAATGTGGTTGCTCCTGGCTCATCCAAGCCCAAGAGCACCAAGTCCCCTAGTTCAAAGATGGCACCAAAGTTCCGCCCCGCCACGCTTGGGGAGTGGCCTATCTGTGCCAAAAGGGTGTCGCCAACCAAATCGACGCCACCAATGATATCCTATTCATCGACTCCAAAGACAAGGGGGGAAATGCCACCTTCAATTACTCATGATAAGCTGGGGGCTGGTTCCTCCAAACCTGCCCCAAGCATACTAGGGGCACCTCCGACAAAGAATGCATCGACAACAGCTTTCCCACCTCCAAATAGGGGGATAGTGCTGTGGGATCAACCTCAACGTCCGTAGCCCTGCAACAAAGAAAGGGCTATAGCGGTGGGAGAGATGGATCACCCGCGTCCTTCCAACAAACGAAAGGCCGTGGTGATAGAATATAGTATGTCGTCCACTGAAAGTGATTCATCTACAAAAAGCCAACTTCAGGCTAAAGCTCCTGAGTTTATCCCCACGTTGGTCTATAATTCCAGCAATGATCTACCTAAGCGTGAGCTTCGTGGCAAAGGATTCACCTCTCCCTCAATGATATAAAGAGGGGACATGTTGATCCGGCTGCGACACTCTCTGATCCTATATCATTAGAGGTGGCACCATCATGGCCTTCTATACAAGATTTTGTGTCTCCAAAGCGACACCACCGACGGCAACGCAAATTCTTTAAGCATGGGCCAACTTCAACAACGTAATTGACTCTATGACTAATGCACAACGTGCTTATGTTTGTGATTCAATTTTGGCTCAACAAAGCAGGGAATATCGTAGGATCCAAAATGCTGCGAGGCAAGCTTTTCAGGCTTCCATTGAATGGGCCATATGACAGGACCTAAGGAGCTTGTTGCCTGGAGCATCCACATCCTCAGATAATATTGAGGGTGAAATCATGCGACGCGCCGAAATTTTGGCCAAACTACCCGAGCATCAAGAGTTTGTAAAAAGGAACTCGAGGCGATCAGGGAGATATGCAAAGCAGGCTGCCAATGTACGTGCAAGACATGCCAGCTTAAAACAAAGGGAGATGGCAATACCAACTGACTCCACGTCTAGTTGGGTACGAGGGGATGCATCATCAAGACATGCTGGTGGCACCCAAGGAGAAATAAAAGCAGCCACCCCAAGAGTGGAAGATACAACATCACTAGCTTATCGGCCTCCCCATAAAAGAGCCTTGATCAACCATTTTGAGGTATTCTCTTCAATGCCGGTGAGTGTTGAGGAAGTAGCCTACAACACGAGTGATACTTCCTTCACTTCTACACACTTCAAAAGAAAGAAGCCTCGTAAACAAATTCTAGTGGCTCGTCATCCGGTGACTCGAAGCTTAACAAACTCTGGTAATTTTAGAAATAATACGATCTATGTAGGGTCTTATAACCCCCTATTTGATGATCATTCTAACTTTGAAAATGAATTATTGGATACTGCAGGCTCGGCTGATCCAAACCCACTAAATGGTGAAGATCTACAATCCCCAAGTGAGGATGACTCACAACCTCTGCATAGTGAGAGTGAGCCGAGCAGTGCTGAACAAGTGCTTGTCACAAATCAAGGTCAATCCGTTGAAGAGAAGATGAACCAAATGATGGCTGCCTTACAACAAAAAGAAGAAGAGTTGGCCACGCTTCGTGAGTAGGTGGCCAACACCAGAAATCGTACAAATGATGTGAACACTTCGACCAGTCATAATGGTCCCCATCACCAACCTGAAATCACACTCGAAGCCATACAAAGGATGATTTCGGAAGGCATAAAGGCTCAATATATGCAAACGCATTATTCCATGCGTCCGGGGTATGTGAAACCATATCCGCCAGAGGTGGACATGGTACCATTTCCGAACAACTATCGCCAACCGCAATTTATTAAATTTAATGGGACCGGATCGCCACATGAACATGTGGCCCATTTCCTTGTTGCGTGTCAAGATACAACCCACAATGGAGCTCTTCTCCTCCGTCAATTTGTACAAATATTATCGGGTCCAGCTTTCACATGGTATACCAAGTTGGCACCTGGCTCCATCCGTACATGGGAACAAATGCAAGACGCCTTCCTAGAGCGCTTTTATAGCACTCAAAAGGTGGGAATAACTGAGCTGACTCAAACCTTACAAAGGCCAAATGAGAAAGCTACGGATTTCATCAATAGGTGGAGGAATTTAAGCCTCCACTACCCACAACCAATCACCGAACCAGAAGCAGTTCGTATGTGTATGAATAACTTAAGCCCAGACATGGCCATTCACCTGCAGTATGTAAGGCCAATAACTTTCAAAGAGTTGTCCTCAAAGGCCACATACATAAAGAATTATATGCATCACATGTCTCGTCCACCGAGGATGTTCAACAAGGCACCATTGGATAAAAACAACCCGTGAGATAAGCCCACATCTTCTAAGACGAAGC